TTCGAATACGAACAGAACTTAATTTTGTTTTTTTTTCCTTTCGGTTAAATGAAACCGAGAGAAAAATCAGGAAGTAAGCAGAAGAAGCAGAAGAGGTCTTATTCATTTTACTTTCTCAGATGAGTTGTTTTTTTTTTTGAAAGAGGGGATGATTGGGGCACAGAAATTGAATAAGTGCATGGGATAAGGTTTGTTTGAAAATTTAATGCAGTTTTTAGGTCATCTGATTGGTCGAGAGAATTTTTAAAGCTCTTCAATTGGAAGGAGAGAGATAAGACCTATAAGGGTTATACATTGACATAAGCCGATTTACATTTATTTGATATACAGGTATATCTAACAGAGAACAGCCAATAGTCTTTAAGAGGTCTATTACAGCCAGAAGATTTTTTACACAACTTCTATAGCCAGAAGACCTTTAAGAGCTCTTCTATGACGAGAAGACCTGATACAGTTCTACTATGACCAGAAGACCTGATACAGTTCTACTATGACCAGAAGACCTGTAACCGCTCTTCTATAGCCCGAAGACCTATAACATCTCTTTTGTAGCCAGAAGACCTGTAAGAGCTCTTATGTAGCTATATAACCTGTCACAGCTCTTCTATGCGCAGGAGACCTGTTACAGCGCTTCTATGGCCAGAAGTCTCGTTACAGCTCTTCTATGGCCAGAAGATCTTTGAGAGCTCTTCTGTGACTAGAAGACCTCATACAGCTCTTCTATGACCAGTAGACCTTTTAAAGGTATTCTATAGCCAGAAGACCTGTTACAGCTCTTCTATGGCTAGAAGACCTGTTACAGCTCTTCTATGGCTAGAAGACCTGTTACAGCTCTTCTATGGCTAGAAGACCTGTTACAGCTCTTCTATGGCTAGAAGACCTGTTACAGCTCTTCTATGGCCAGAAGACCTTTTACAGCCCATCTATAGTCAGAAGACCTGTTACAGCTCTTCTATAGCCAGAATACCTGTTACAGCTCTTCTATAGCCAGAAGTCCTGTTACAGCTCTTCTATGGCCAGAAGACCTGTTACAGATCTTCTATGGCCAGAAGACCTCTTACGGCCCTTCTATGTTCAGAAGACCTATTACAGGTCTTCTATGGCCAGAAGACCTGTTACAGCTCTTCTATGGGCAGAAGACCTGTTACAGCTCTTCTATGACCAGAAGACCTGTTACAGCTCTTCTATGGCCAGAAGACCTGTTACAGCTCTTGTATGGCCAGAAGACCTGTTACAGCTCTTGTATGGCCAGAAGACCTGTTACAGCTCTTCTATGGCCAGAAACCCTGTTACAGCTCTTCTATGGCCAGAAGACCTATTACAGCTCTTCTATGGCCAGAAGACCTCTTACAGCTTTTCTATAGGTCTTCTGGCCTGTTACAGCTCTTTTATGGCCAGAAGACATGTTACAGCTCTTTAATGGACAGAAGACCTGTTACAGTTCTTCTATGGCCAGAAGACCTGTTACAGCTCTTCTATGACCAAAAGACCTGTTACAGCTCTTCTATGACCAAAAGACCTGTTACAGCTCTTCTATAGCCAGAAGACCTGTTACAGCTCTTCTATAGCCAGAAGACCTGTTACAGCTCTTCTATAGCCAGAAGACCTGTTACAGCTCTTCTATAGCCAGAAGACCTGTTGCAGCTCTTATATAGCCAGAAGACCTGTTACAGCTCTCCTATAGCCAAATACCTGTTAGAACTCTTCTATGGCCAGAAGACCTGTTACAGCTCTTCTATGGCCAGAAGACCTCTTACGGCCCTTCTATGTCCAGAAGACCTGTTACAGCTCTTCTATGGCCAGAAGACCTGTTACAGCTCTTCTATGACCAGAAGACCTGTCACAGCTCTTCTATGGCCAGAAGACCTGTTACAGCTCTTGTATGGCCAGAAGACCTGTTACAGCTCTTGTATGGCCAGAAGACCTGTTACAGCTCTTCTATGGCCAGAAGCCCTGTTACAGCTCTTCTATGGCCAGAAGACCTATTACAGCTCTTCTATGGCCAGAAGACCTATTACAGCTCTTCTATGGCCAGAAGACCTGTTACAGCTCTTGTATGGCCAGAAGACCCTTTACAGCTCTTCTATGGCCAGAAGACCTCTTACAGCTCTTCTGTAGGTCTTCTGGCCTGTTACAGCTCCTCTATGGCCAGAAGACCCGTTACAGCTCTTTTATGGCCAGAAGACATGTTACAGCTCTTTAATGGCCAGAAGACCTGTTACAGTTCTTCTATGGCCAGAAGACCTATTACAGCTCTTTTATGGCCAGAAGACCTATTACAGCTCTTTTGTGGCCAGAAGATATGTTACAGCTCTTCAATGGCCAGAAGACCTGTTACAGCTCTTCTATGTTCAGAAGACCTGTTACAGCTCTTCTATGGCCAGAAGACCTGCTACTGCTCTTCTAGGGCCAGAAAACCTGTTACAGCTCTTACAGGTCTTCTGGCTATAGAGAGGCTATAACAGGTCGTCTGGCTGTAGAAGAGCTGTAACAGGTCTTGTGGGTATAGAAAAGCTGTAACATTTCTTCTGGCTACAGAAGAGCTGTAACAGGTCTTCTATAGCGAGAACGCCTGTTACAACTCTTCTATAGCCAGAAGACCTGTTACAGCTCTTCTATAGCCAGAAGACCTGTTACAGCTCTTCTATAGCCCGAAGTCCTGTTACAGCTCTTCTATAGCGAGAACACCTGGTACAGCTCTTCTATGGCCCGAAGACCTGTTAAAGCTCTTCTATAGCGAAAACGCCTGTTACAGCTCTTATATAGCAAGAACACCTGTTACAGCTCTTCTATAGCTAGAAGACCTGTTGCAGCTCTTCTACGGCCAGAAGAACTGTTACAGCTTTTCTGTAGGAAGAAGCCCTGTTACAGCTATCCTATAGCCCCAAGATCTCTTACAGATCTTCTATGGTAAGAACATCTGTTACAGCTCTCCTATGGTCAGAAGACCTGATACGGCCCTTCTGTGGCCAGAAGACCTGTTTCAGCTCTTCTATGGCCAGAAGACCTGGTACAGCTCTTCTATGGCCAGAAGACCTGGTACAGCTCTTCTATGGCCAGAAGACCTGTTACAGCTCTTCTATGGTCAGAAGACGTGCTATAGCTCTTCTATGGCTAGAAGATCTGTTATAGCTCTTCTCTAGCTTGAAGACCTGTTGCAGCCCTTCTATAGCCCGAAGACCGGTTACTGCTCTTCTATGGCCAGAAAACCTCATACAGCTCTTCTATAGCCAGAAGACCTGTTATAGCTTTTCTATAGCCAGAAGACCTGTTACAGCTCTTCTATGACCAAAAGACCTGTTACAGCTCTTCTATGACCAAAAGACCTGTTACAGCTCTTCTATGACCAAAAGACCTGTTACAGCTCTTCTATAGCCAGAAGACCTGTTACAGCTCTTCTATAGCCAGAAGACCTGTTACAGCTCTTCTATAGCCAGAAGACCTGTTGCAGCTCTTCTATAGCCAGAAGACCTGTTGCAGCTCTTCTATAGCCAGAAGACCTGTTACAGCTCTCCTATAGCCAAATACCTGTTAGAACTCTTCTATGGCCAGAAGACCTGTTACAGCTCTTCTGTGTCCAGAAGACTTGTTACAGCTCTTCTTTTTCCAGAAGACCTGTTACAGCTCTCTTATGGACAGAACACCCTTTGGAGTACTTCTACAACCAGAAGACTCCTTAGTAGTCTCCTGTGTATACAAATCCTTTGGAAGGTCTGTTTATCAGTCTAGACATGCATTACCCCAGAGAGCAATGACTACCCTTGTCACATAGCCCATAAGCCACGTAATGAACTCTTAATTCTGAACTTAATACTGTCATGTACAACAAATATAAAAACAACATAAACTTCTCATTATTTTATCATTCGAAAAAAAAAAATCGGACAACAAAAAAATGCAAAACCCAGGAGAGAACATAAAAAAATCACCCTGGTCGATGGAAGAACTCCAGTAGGCTGGACCATAATGAAATGTATAAAAAAAATGTACAACCAACACTTTGGCCATAAAAACATTTGGTCAAGAATAAAACGACTTTGTTGGCGACAACAAAAGCAACAACAACAAAAAGTACAACAAGAAAAAAGTGGCTACAACGATATTTGTAAATGTTGCAACAATAAATCCCCTGATATTTAACGGTCATGTTATGTTAGCTGTTAGCGGCACAAGTGCCACAACATAAATACAATGAAACCCACACTCACACACACCCAAATGCAAAGAAGGATACCAAAAACCGGACAAATATAGAGTTTGGCCAAAAAAAAAAAAAAAAAAAAAAAAAAAAAAACAGAGAGGAGTGGAAAAATTGCAATGCAGAAATGAATTGTAAGTTCTTTGGCCCATAACCCCCCCTGCCCCTGCCACCCTTTTTGGGTCTTTGCCGGCCGCTATCAATTGGCAAACATTTGCAGAGTAAACTGGACATGGCAAATAATAATGCGGAAGTGCTCGGTCATGGACCATGGATTCGAGTGATGTTGAAGTAAAAATATTTATTGTAATGCTGGAGCCGGAGGCAGGGGGGGGGAGTCGAGGGGTGTGAAGGAGTAGTATTTGTGCAGCAATGATTCAATATACATTTAGTGGATGCTATTCATTTCCAAAGGCATACAATGTTTTTTCTTTCTTCTTTTTTTCTATTTTTATGTTTATCCGCCGCCACCACCTCTTTCATGTGTTGCGAGCTTTTTATAGTTCTTTTTTTGTTGCTTTGCCATTTTCACAAGCAATTTATAAATTGTTTAGCGATTTGGGAATTTCAGAGCCATTGGATTTGTGTTTATATTTGCTAAGAGCTAAAAGCAAAATGCTTATCACAATGCAATGACGATAGAATAGCGGGGGAAGCGGAAATAGTTTGTTGAAAGAGGGTTGAAGAAACGGATTTTAGCTTCATTTGATTGCAAATAAATCATGAAACTTAAGAGTAGAGAAAATAAAATGAGAGAGAAATTAAAAAGGACGATGAGGGGTACTAATAGACAAACACTTACCTTCGGTATCACTGGTATCCGATACAGGTGGTTCACTGGCAATATATTGACGGCCACTCAGCAGAGTACTTTCGACAATTGGACGTTTATCCTCCAATTGACGACGGAAAGCTTTATGATCGTCCTGAAATGAAAGGAAGAAAATATATGGATAAATATTTTATTGCAATAAATAAAGGGGAAACATATTGATAAACAAAGGAATGGGTAAAAATCAGATTGGATATCCTTCAGAGGTCATCTAAAAATAGAATACATCCTAGAGAAATACTGGTGGCAGAGGGCGATTTTCTAGAGATCTTGTAATGGCATAGGTGTGTTGTGGAAAGAACCACAACAGAGCGAGAGGTATTCTATATCTAAAGCGAGAGGTATTTTATATACAAAGGATATCACGCGCACTAGAGGTAGTCTATACCTGGGAAACCACTTCGAGGGCTTCCAGTCATTATGTCTTTCCAGAGGTCGCTTTTCCATAAAAAGAAAAACTTTCACGTCTCCTCTATTGCCTAAAGATCGTTTACAGGTCGTTCAAAGCCAGAACACAGTACAAATAGGACCTCTTAAAGCTCTTATACAGCCCGGTAACCTTTCATAAGTCTTATATATTCAGAACACATTTTACTGCTCTTCTATGGCCAGAAGACCTGTTACACTTCTTCTATAGCCAGAAGACCTGCTCCAGCACTCCTATAGCCAGAAGTTCTGTTACAGCTCTTCTATATTCAGTAGACATTTTGCAGATCTTCCATAGCCAGAAGACCTGTTACAGCTCTTCTATAGCCAGAAGACCTGTTACAGCTATTCCATGACCAGAAGACCTGTTACAGCTATTCCATGGCAAGAAGATCTGTTACAGCTCTTCTGCAGCTAGAAGATCTGTTACAGCTCTCCTGCAGCCAGAAGACCTGTTACAGCTCTTCTATAGCCAGAAGACCTGTTAAAGCTCTTGTAGGTCCAGAAGACCTGTTTTTTTGCACATAGAAGACTAGCTAGCATTGAAGACCGCTAGAGGTCGTTTACATCTAAGAGACCCAATAGAGGTCATACCTCCAGAGTTCACTTATTCAGGCCCATTAATAATATTTTAAACACTGAAGCCATGTTAGGGCCTTCCGTGTTTAGAAGATCCGATAAATGTCGATTATACCTTCCAGGCCCGATAGAGACGTTCTTAACACAGAAGACCAGCTAAATATATTGCAACCCCAAACAATTCTTTCCATATTTAGGAATACTTTTTCTGTTATTATAGGTCGTCTAAAGAGATCTTCTCTGTTCTAGCTCGTTTAAAAAGACATTCTCTGTCTATAGGGACTCCCTCGACTCCAGCTCGTCTATAGAGACTCCCTTGACTCCAGCTCGTCTATAGAAACTTCATGGCCTTCAGCTCGTCTACAGAGACTTCATGGCCTTCAGCTTGTCTTTAGAGACTTCATGAACTTCAGCTCGTCTTTAGAGGCTCCCTGGCGCTTCAGCTCGTCTTTAGAGGCTCCCTGGCGCTTCAGCTCGTCTATAGAGACTCCCTGGCGCTTCAGCACGTCTATAGAGACTCATTGACCTTCAGTTTACCTATGGAGACTCCCTGGCGCTTCAGCACGTCTATGGAGACTCCCTGACCCACCAGCTCATCTATGGTGACTCCCTCTCCCCCCTATAACTTTAAGACTCCCTGGCCCTCCAGCTCGCCAATAGAGACTCACTGGCTTCCCAGCTCGTCTAAAGAGACTCCCTGGCTTCCCAGCTCGTCTAAAGAGATTCGCTGGCTTCCCAGCTCGTCTATAGAGACACCCTGGCCTGCTAACTTGTCTATAGAGGCTCCCTGGCCTTCTGCTCGTCTATAGATACTCCCTGGCCTTCAGCTCGTCTATAGATACTCCCTGGCCCTCAGCCGGTCTATAGATACTCCCTGGCATTCAGCTTATCTATAGAGACTCCCTGACCTTCAGCTCTTCTATAGAGACTGCAGCTTATCTACTGCCCTTTATATATAAGAAACATTTGAAAGATCTTTTAGTGAAAGAAGAGCTCAATAGGGTACTAAATATTCTGGAGAAAATTCTATTCCTAAATTACCTCTTGCGGATTTTATATCTAACGGAAGGTTTGTAGGTGCTCTTTTATCAAAAAACTCGGAAAAGGCTTCTATCCATAGTATTGCTCTTGAGGGAATCGTATCTTTAGAAGGTTTCGATTACATCCAAATGCAAAGGTTATTGGAGAGTGATCTCCTGACTTTGTTTTATTGAATTCTCTGGAGAAAATCCTATTCATAAATGGCTTCCTGCGGCTATTATATCTGACGGGAGGTATGTAGGTGGTCTTCTATCAAAAAACTCGGAAAAGCCTTTTATCTATAGAATTACATTTCAGGGACTCTTAGCCTGTGAGGGTTCATCGATGACATTCAATGCTAAGAAAACGGGAGAGTGGTCTCCCGACTTTGTTTTTCTTTTAATTTTGAAAAATTCTCTAAATTTGAATTTGACTTTGTTTGAAAAAAATTCAAAACTTCGCAGTTTCGTCGTAATTTCAATACATTTGGCCACTACTAAAATAATTTTATTTTATGCTTTCGATAGAAAACCTCTGGATTATATTGTAGTTTCGAGGTGAGCTCCTACTCACAGAGACGTCTAAGGGGCCTAAAATCATAGAAAAGCTCATGATAGACCTACTGATGCCCTTTACACACAGAAATCTGTAAAGGATATTCAACTCAAAATAATAGCAGAATATGGGTTTGAATCCTTCAGAGGGAATTTTATTCATAGACGACCTCATGCGGATATTTTATCTGTAGAATACTTTATCTGAGTCCTCTAGATGATCTTCTATCCATAAAAAAAATTTATTGAAAGATTTCTGCTCGTTGATAAACCTCCTAAACCTGAAAAAACTCTTAATGGTTTGAGCCAAAGTAAAAGTTATGACTTCTCTATAATGCTCTGTCAGTGAAAGACCAGTTTAGAAGATTTTAGATGCTCCTCTACCAATATAAGACCTCTCATTTATGACTTCCAGAGGCCTTCACTAGGTGGCAGTCCTTCTTTAGAAAAATCCTGAATATCCTCTGGGTATCTCTCCATTTCTAAATGACTTCTAAAGAGATACAGAAGCAAAAATCCCATTAAATGCTTTTAAGGGATCTCCAACTGGAGGACCTGTTAAAAATGTTATTGGGTTCTCTATATTATAGACTACCTTCTGTTTTATGTTATTATATGTAACGACCTTGAGGTGAATTGTTATCTTTAAAAATTCCTGAACGAATTTTTATTCTTCGATGGGCTTCATTTCATAGAAAATATGTCCTTAGAAGTCCTTGAATTAATTTGTAAATTTAAATATAAAAAATCCTCCCCCTTTCACTTCGCATACTCTTCATTTTCCACCCACCACATTTTTGTTGTAATTCCATTACCCTTCACCACTACCAACCAACTTAGTGTGTCCCCTTATTGATTCCTAACGCCGTTGCTTCGTATCGAGTTAATAAATTTGCTCTGCCATTCGAGCATGTAGCTTTAAATAACATTTAGTTGTCACTTTTATTGGCCAAATTATAATGTACAGCTAACAAGTGCCACTTAACGGGCCAGAACGTACCGTGCAAGTTCATTATAATCACAGACACTCTCTATCGCTTGCCTCGTCTGTTCGCCAGTCCGTCCGTCCGTCTATTCATGGGGGTAATTGTTTAATGATGCCTAACACGGTAAGCAATCGGCACATGACACAGGACAACATAACACAACACGCAAACAAGGATTTTTCGCTAGGACGTAAACTAAAGGACATAAACTACACTCGCCAAAAATACCGACAAACACATTCACACACACACACACACTTGTAGAGAAAAGTTTTGTGCGTGTATACGCAACATTCTGTGTAATAGTCGGTTGGCAAACTAACGATAAGGCCGGCATGTAGCCAGGCCAAATGGCCAGACAGCCGGTCTTTATGCTTGCCTTTGTGCCGCCTTATGCAGGACACGCACACATAAAATTTGCCAAAAGATTTGATAAACAAGCGAACGTTACGAAAAGTGACATATCACAAACGCCACCAACAAATAACAAGGGCGCAAACAACAATGGCCAAATGTGTTTGTGTAAAACACACATGCACACACTCACACCTTACCACCTTGGCAATAAACTCTCAATGGCAGCAAAAACAACAACAACAGGACAAAAGCGACAAACAGTAATTTTCCCTCACCAGGCCTATGGCTTAAAAATATTGGCTGAAACAAAAAATACCCATGGACTGGACAATGGCCGAAAAGAAAACCACTTAAGAGATGAAAGTTTTTCAACTTGATTTGAGTAACGGTAGAAACACACACACATACACCAACACACAAAAAGTTACAATGAATCAAAGTGCCGAAAAAACTGATGGCCAAAGAAACACAAAAAATGGCTAACATAAAATGGGCCAATTTAATGGCATAGTTCAGATATAAATCCTTCTTCTTTTTTTGTGGCACACACTGCTGGAAATGTTTTCTGGGGGAGCAAGAATTCGGAGGGGGTTATTGTAATGAAATGAAACAAGAAAACATAACTTTTACCTTTGAAACACTTTAACAAGTTGTGTTTGTTAAAAGTGAGAACAATGTATCAATGTGGGGGGTCTATGTATATGTGTGTGTGTGTGTGTGTATGAGAGAAAGTTGTAGAAGAGAAAATCGATATTCAGCGTTGAGAAAAATACTTGAAGGCGTATTACAAAGCATTGAATGAAATTTCAACATTTTTGGGGTAAAGGTATAGTGAAAAATGAATACTCATAGGATTTTGAAATGGAATCAAATTTTCAATAGAAAATATTGGATTGCTGATAGAAACCTTCAGGGAAAAACAAATATAGGGGGGGGTCTAGAACAACCAGTGGAGCGATTCAAAATCCAAATTATAAATGTAAAATTTTTTATTGGCAACGGAATTGAAAAATGTTGAGTGTTGAAATGCGACGGAAAAACTTTAAAAATTGCACATAAATTTAAATACTACTACTAATACTAATACTAATAACAATACTATAATAATAATATAATAATAATAATAATAATAATAATAATATAATAATAATAATATAATAATAATAATAATA